CGGTAATTGATGTCTGCTATATGTGATATCCGGTATATGATGTCCGTTATATGTGTGATGTCCGGTATGTGATGTTTGATGTATAATATATGATGTCAGAAATCCCATATATGATTTCTGATGTCTGAAGTCCGGTATATTATTGTTTATGTCCGATATACGCTGTCAGATATCTTGTGTATTATAGTTATTTTAATTTAGTGGATTAGTTTGTTGATTCCCAATACTCACCACAGTGCTCTACCCCGCCTCTTTCCCTCTTCCCCCACCTCCCCTCCCTCCTTCCCCCACCTCCCCTCCCTCCTTCCCCCACCTCCCCTCTTACCCCCACCTACCCTCCCTCCTACCCCAACCTCCCCTCCCTCCTTCCCCCACCTCCCCTCCCTTTGACTGAAGAAACTTTAAACTTTTTCCCTCCTTGAAAACGGAAAATGAATCTTCTTGAGTTTTATGAATTTCTCCTTAATTCCTTCTCTTCCTTCAAACTCCTTATCTTCCTCATTTACTTCCCTCCTTTAACCTACTCCTCCTCTTCCCTCAAACTCCTTCTCTTCCTTATTTACTTCCCTCCTTCACTTTAAACACTAATGACGTATGAACAAAATCCGTCCAAAATAACCAGCTTTAGAGTATCGAATCCTCTTCATCCTCCTCCTCCTCCTCCTCTTCCTTCTCCTCCTCCTTTTCCTGCTCCTCCTCCTCTTCCTCCTCCTCTTTAGACGTTCATCTTTGGTTCGGTTCTTCAATGCCCTTCGCTTGTGTGGTTTTGAATCCCTCTGTGAATGGACGCGTGATCCTCTTTTGTTTTTGTTTTTTTACATAGTGATCCCTTCTTGATCTCCTGTCGTCTATTGTCCATTTTTAGGTCTTATTCTTGTTCTTATTCTTGTTCTTTATGTTCATCCACCTCTTCCTCACCCCTTCTCCCCCTCCCCCTTTCTCTCCTCCCCCTCCCCATTTCCTTAGGATTATTTGTTCGTCGTGAGTGGTGTTCAGAAACGCTTGTGGACGATGTGTGCTGAGAGTGATCGATGGCTTTTGGAAATTATAGGAAAAAACATAACTAACTATAAATTCAATGTTCCCTTAATGGAGACTTACCTTATTGTATCGATGTTTTCACTTTGTTTTGTCTTCCTCTGGGTAATTTGTCATGTGATAAAGATGTTATTAAAATGTCCCATAACTTTAGAGACATTGATATGATAATTAATTTAGGTATTTTAAGTGTTTATGTAGACCGTGTAGTGGTAGGTACTGTAGGTGTGTCAGTTTATGTATGATCGTAATATTTGCGTAATAAATTCCATGTAGCTTACACAAGGTACTCTTATTAGCCATCTACCTGTTGTAGGGCCCACCTGGTATAGGGCCCATCTGTTATAGAGCCCACCTGGTATAGGGCCTACCTGGTATAGGGCCCACCTGGTATAGGGCCCACCTGGTATAGGGCCCACCTGTTGTAGAACCCACCTGGTGTAGGAGTGAATTAATTTATTTTATCCATTTAAACGAATATAACATTATGCAGTCGAAGTTTATCAATATATTAATTAAAAACAACTCAAAGGTAACTATTAATCATCTATCCCATATTACTTACCAATGTTTAAATCTCTTGTTTCCTGCTTCCAACTTATTCATCCTGGGGTTAAAAAACAAAAAAAAACACCAAGAACTTTACCCCCCCCTCCCCCCTCGCCCCTGCTGCTGCTGCTCTAAGCCTCGTTAAGAAGTTACACACACACACACACATATGAGATAAACCTCTACACTCCCACTCCTTGCTGTGTAGGTCGTGTACATCCTGGGAATAAAAGGTTTATATGTCATAGCTGCCGGAGGAGAGGAATGAAGTGAACCAAGATTCTATTTTCTGCTGATGTGATTTAAGGAAATTATGATGAGGATATGAGGTGGTTCCCTAGGGTGTGATGGCTGGGCTTACTTACCCAACTGTGGCTCGAGGCACCTTGGGGACCTGATGTGGAGAGGGCTTGTGGGGGACCTGGGGGGGACCTGGAGATTTAGGGACTTGTTTGTTCTCTCTCTCTCTCTCTCTCTCTCTCTCAGTGAAGTCTCTTATTCCACCTAACTTAAGATAATCCTCTAGTGTTCATCTGTCTATGACTCACGACATGCATCTTCCTGTCAGGTCCCCAGGTCTTCAGGTCCCCAGGTCTTCAGGTCCCCAGGTCTTCAGGTCCCCAGGTCTTCAGGTCCCCAGGTCTTCAGGTCCCCAGGTCTTCAGGTCCCCAGGTCTTCCCCAGGTCTCAGGTCCCGAGGGTCTTCAGGTCCCCAGGTCTTCAGGTCCCCAGGTCTTCAGGTCCCCAGGTCCCTTGGGTCCAGGTCCCCAGGTCTCAGGTCTTCAGGTCCCCAGGGGTCCAGGCCTTCAGGTCCCCAGGTCTTCAGGTCCCCAGGTCTTCAGGTCCCCAGGTCTTCAGGTCCCCAGGTCTCAGGTCCCCAGGTCTTCAGGTCCCCAGGTCTCAGGTCCCCAGGTCTTCAGGTCCCCAGGTCTACAGGTCCCTTGGTCTACAGGTCTTATTCTAATCTATTTTTATTTTAAGTAATTTTGACGTAAGAATTTATTCCAAGTCGTTTTGATTATGACCAACTTGCGTGAAATTGTTCCATGCTGTCTCTCTCTGTCTGTCTGTCTCTCTCTGTCTGTCTGTCTCTCTCTGTCTGTCTGTCTCTCTCTGTCTGTCTGTCTCTCTTTCTGTCTGTCTGTCTGTCTCTATGAATTTTTACCTTCTACTGAGTTTTAATATAGATTATCGCCAATGTAGAAAGAAGGTGGGCGTACGTTCGTCCGTCGTAAGTTGGCGTAAGTACACCTGGCGTAGGAAGAGGGTGTAAGTTCGTCTGGCGTAGGAAGTGGTTGTAAGTTCGTCTGGCGTAGGAAGTGGTTGTAAGTTCGTCTGGCGTAGGAAGTGGGCGTAGGAAGTGAGCTTAAGTTCGTCTGGCGTAAGAAGTGGGTGTAAGTTCGTCTGGTGTAGCTTCCATCACCAAGTCATCAGAAATAACACGTTTATTTGAAAACTTATTTTAAATTAACGTATTTATCTAATTATTATTTAAAATTAACCTGTTTAACCGAATTCATATTATAATAGTACCACATTTGACTAATTTAACCGTCTTATTATTCAACGGTCTGAATATTGAAAAATAACGAATTTAACCGACTTGAATACTGAAAATCAACGAATTTAACCGATATATTATTCGAAAATACCATAAAATGAGTTACATCAACAATGTACTTCCATCGGTTTGTAAGACTCAGACACCTGCAACAAACAGCTTACCTGTAATTACTGAGGTAATTAAGGTATCTCTCTAACTGGGTAATTAAGCTTACTAGTGTTGCTTAATTAATTACAACATTATTTAGCTATATTTTCAGAGGTTGAGGACGAACCTGATTTTTTATGATAATTACGGGTGACAGTCCCAATATACTTAATTACCTGCGTTAATTACCCCGAGAAGCATTTTGCTCTGTGTGTGTGTGTGTGGTAAAGCCGAGGCAAGGTTGTTTACGCCATTTGCTTCTGTCTACCCAGCAGTAATTGGGGGACGTTGATGTTAATCGATTTTCGGATCCCGTTCTGGGGTAATGGTTAGTCAGTGCAGTTGGTGAATTGTCCGGTCGTCTTTTGGGGTTATTCCTTGACACTGGGTCGTAGAGTTCGTGTATTTTAGGGTGCGGGTGTTGTGTTGGCGATAGCTTCTACGTTTTAGAAAATTTCACGCCTAGGTGGTTCGTGGACTAGCCAGCCCTGAACGCAAGAGGCAATCATTGTTGTGTGTTGAAACTGTCGCCAATACAACAACCACACTGTTGGCCTTCCTTCCTCCTTCTCCTTCCTCCTTCTCCTTCCTCCTTCTCCTTCCTCCTTCTCCTTCCTCCTTCTCCCTCTTCTCCACCTTGCCTTCTTCCTCCTCCTTGCATTACTTCTCCTTCCCTTCCCCTCCTCCTCTGTCCTCCCCCTTGCCTTCCTCCTCCTCCTCCTTACTACTACTACAACGACTACTACGATGACTACTACTAGTAGTAGTAGTAGTAGTAGTAGTAGTAGTAGTAGTAGTAGTGCCACTTAAGAGAAAATGATAACAGTGACGATAATAATATTAATAGAAAAATAAAAATAAAATAAAGAAAAACAAGAATAACAAGTTTAATAAGAGAAGAACAAGAGGAATAGAAGAATAGATGAAGAAGAGGAGGTGGAAGGAAATGAAGAAGAAGGTGAAGACAAAGAAGAAGATGACAATTAAGGGAAAGTAAGAAAAAACAAGAAAAAAACAAACAATAATTAATGATAATATTAATGATGGTTACAATTAATTGATGTTTGTATACAGTAATGTGTCTTTAGCACGTGTTAATTATTCTCACCTGTTACAATGTTGTGTGTAATACCACGAACATAATAATTAGGTATATATATTTTTTTACGCTCGTGCCATGAAAAATCGCCATAACAAGCAACAAAATAGATAAACGAACTCTCGCCTGGCGAAACATCTTTAAAACTGTGTAATTTATCTGACAGGCGTTGTTGTTTGCTCGTTGTGGCGCTGTTTTTATGGTACGGGTCTGTTATTGACTTTACATTCATACTTACTGGAATTTAATATTTATTTTCAATCTTATTTAAGCATTTATGCATGACTCCTTAAGGTGATGTCAACAAGAGGGAATATTAAACTCCTGAATACTTCTATCAGTCTCTCTCTCTCTCTCTCTCTCTCTGTCTCTCTCACGTTGTCAGATGCATATTATAGAGAGACTAACAAAAGTGTATTTTAATTGGAGGTAAACTAACTGTAACAACTCATTAAGACTGGAACCCATTAAGCTTAGGATCCATTAGGAGTGGAACCCATTAGGACTAGAACCCCACTTAACCAGCACACATAAAAAATCTTTGTTGTCAGTAAACGTTTTAACACAAACACCCTGCAGTACCCTTCCTTCTATCACTCAATAGGTTTCCAAGATTCTGACGCCACTCTGGACAACTTCAAGAACGGCCTTAGTAGCCACCACTTCCCTCTACCTGGCGGGAGACACCAAAGATCCCTCTCCATGCAACACCACCGGGGTCCCTTCCGTAATAGCACCAGTACCACTACTACCAGCACTGGCAGTTTCCACCACCATAATAACCAGCGTCTTTACCATAGCCAGTATCAACGCCAGAGGCCTCTCTTGCACCATCACCAGTCGACTAAGGCCACCGGATCATCCAGAACAGATGAGGCTCTGAAGACGAACGGTACCAGTCACACTTGGGTCTAACTGAGGTAAAGTGATGTTGGTGTTTATACTTACTGGATGTTTTAAGTAATAAGTGATTGTTGTAAGTGAATAATATGTAATACAAGACAATGATAGAGTAATTGTAAGTAATTCCATAAGTAATAGGTAAATTAGATATAAATTTAGTTGTAAGTAGATTAATAAGTAATGTATAAGTGAGAAATATATTACTTGTAAGTAAATAGAATTGTTGGAGACACTTATAAATTATCAGTAAAGGTTTGATAGGTCACAATCTACTCATAACTAAACCATTGGATAGTATGAGGACTGAACCCAGGATTAAAGCTGCTGGTATACTCATCTCACTATATTAGTCCAGTTTAACCCGAGGAAAAAATACCCTTATGTCCTTATTCTATAAAGATCATCTTATATAATTCAATCTTAAAATAGGTCATCTGTTTTGTGACTATTAGAAGCAACTTTTAAAATAATGTAATGAAAAAGATAATATTTGATAATGGTATAATTCTGTCTCAGGGTGGGAGGAAGAGGAGGAAGAGGAAGAGGAGGAGGAGGAAGAGGAGGAGGAGGAAGAAGAGGCGATATTCTTAAGATTATAACAGAGACTCATAACCTTATAGACTCTTAAACACAAGGAATTCGTTTATAAATTAATGTCCCAATTTGTCAACAAACTTAAGTGAGTCTAACGTTCTTGAAAATTCCTCAAATAACATCTATAAACATGAACCAGGAAATACATTAAGGAAATATGTAAAGATATTATGGTAAAAAAAAGATTCCAAATATTCTCGTTTACATGATATTAAATATTTTAACACACACACACACACACACACACACACACACACACACACACACACACATATATATCGACCCAAACCCCCCCCCCCCCGACCCAGATCATTACACGTCATTCCTTTTACCAAAAACATCAATGAAAAAGCGACATAGATATTGGGTTTGGCAGCGTGTGGACGACCAATCAGCTTGAGCCAAGTATTGTTCTCTCGTGGGAATAGCCTTGTACTGATTGACTTGTAGTTAATGGTAATCGACAGGTTGTATGATGGTCATAATAATGGTCATCTACCCCCTGTATCTACCCCCTGTATCGACCCCCTGTATCATCTATCTCTCGTAACAATAACATCTACAAAAACTCGTTCCAATTATCTTCACAACATGGCGGAAAAAAGGTTAAAACTCACATCGGTACACACGAATTCTCCCAAAAGGTCTTTTTTTTTTCCTTTGATATGATTTCAATTGTTCTTTTTTCGCCATGGGTTCATATTTCATTCAGGGGGAACGGGGAGCAGGGGAACAGGGGAGGCAGGGGAACGGGGGAGCAGGAGGGACAGGGAGAATAAGGGGGGAGAGGAAGGTAGGGGGAATAGGGGGGGCAGGGTGGGCTTAGGGGTGAACAGGGGAGGGGGAATAGAGGGAAGCAGGGGTGAATAGGGGACTACAGAGAGGCGGGGAGGAAAATGGGGGGTCTAGCGGTGAACAGGGGGGACGGGTTAAAATAAATAAAAAAACACACTATATATGGGTTTTATTTACACTGGGACGAGAGTAGTGAGGTATTATTGTGACTTCTTTTGTTTCTGTGTACTTGAGATCCTCCTCTGACTGGCTGGCTACCTCCCTTCCTCTCCTCTTCTACTCGATGCGGTTTCGTCTTTGTGTTGATTTCTAACTAAGAAGTGACATTATTGGCGCTACCTGGTGACGTCACAAGCTCCTGCCTCATGATTGGTGGATTTTAATCTTTGTTTGTATGTGTATTCTTTATATTTTGTGACGATTGTTTATTATTTCCAGATGGACTTACCAGATTTGCTACTAGCCGTGAGTCCAAGGACCTCCCTGATCTCTCCGTCACTAAGGTCACCTCAGATAAGGACTCTTGGCCAGTCTCCTGCAATTTCCTACACACCTCAAGACACCTCCTGGGATTCCTAGCATCCCTTCGCTCCTTCCTACACACTCCAAGACACCTTCCGGGTTTTCAAGGCACAAAGGATACGACTTAAGTCCCCCTGTAGGACCCCAAGGACTCATTTGTGTACTCGAGGACTGCTTTGGGACTTCTAGTACTCATTCATCAACGAGTTTTTCTTTAGTCTTCCCAGCACCCAGATACTTGGACTCTGAGGATGACCAATCAGCTGGTGAAGTGTGAACCAAGCAGGACTGATAGTGTAGGAGTGTGTAGGAGTGTTGTGTATAGTGTAGGAGTGTGTAGGAGTGTTTTGTATAGTGTAGGAGTGTGTAGGAGTGATGTGTAGTGCTGGAGACACTATAAATTGTTTCTCATTTATATTGGAATTGAAATATCGGAAGTATTTGCATTCTTACGCACTGTTTCACTAGAGAAAACGCTTAGTTCCAATTTTTGGAGGAGTAACTTAAAAATAATGAGAAAGACAACGTGAATCACAAAGCAACTCCAGTAATAATTAAACCAACGCCACATTAAGTCTTAAAATCTGTCTCCTAAGTGTAAACAATAATATATAAGACTTACTTATAGACTTAAATAGCGAAAGGACATAAATACACTAAAACCACAACAATGTGAGTGGTACCTGAGCTCACGAAACTCACATAGCTGTTCTTGAGTGTGTGAATCAACATATAGACCCACTATAGCTTCACATACTACATCAAGTTACTGTCTCCGGCTACACCACCAAGAATACCCTGATTATTCTGGGTATGAAAAGTGTTTAACAACGATTTGGTAGTTCATAGTGAGGTAGCCATGTGTTCTATATAATGAAAATCCAAGACGAATGACGTCAGTCTTGGAGGGTTTATTATCTGCCTAATGGAGCTTAAGATATTTAAAAATAGAGCAGATTAAATACAGTACATAACCTCTAAACCTTCATTTTACAAGGCAGACTAACCTGAGTAACATATCCATGGAGTTTGTGAGCCATAAATATTATAGTTATGCACACATTTTAGTAACAAAAAACGAACGTAATAAGAAAAAACTAACATAAAATTGTAAGGGAAACTTAAATATTTATCAGATAGCCTAGATGTACCAGAAACGCCCCGCCCCATGACCCCTGTATGTGATGGCTCTCTCATAGCTCTCATGAAGCATTTAATTTTAGTTTCAAAACTCATAAACCTGTGAAATCAGGTGAAGGAGAATGAGAGAGAGGGAGAGAGAGAGAACGAGAACGACTATTCTATTAAAATCTAGTAGGAAAAACAATATATCTTGGGGTCTAGTTAATGTTTCTGTTCTCGTTATATATTCAGATGTAAACAAACATTCTATTGAGGTTTATATAAGCGTGGAATCATAAAAAAGTTTACAATAAGTACTTAGGAAAAATGAATAAAATCAAAATGGGAAAATTTCCCCAAAACTTAACAGAATCCTAGATATTTTATTAATGTGTAATAATCATCATTTAAACAAGTATGGTGATTATCATCTATGTATGAAGCTTGAGTGTATTCTTAAGTGTATTCTTGAGTGTATTCTTGAGTGTATTTCACGCACACTTTACACACGCCATATGTGTAATCATAACCGTGTATCACCATATTATCCACATTGTATTATTAATTAAATGTTACACGTCTCTTACCTTCCCACCTTACCTGTGTCAAGTTCACCATTACCAGACGTGAATTATGTATCATGTCAAAAGTACATCAACATGTTAATATAGTCCGACTTTTAGCTTAACTTAACAAAAAACTGACAAAATGTGTATCAAATTCCCAGTTAAGATATATACACAACCCAGTATTTCAATGTTTACTATGGAATTTTGTATAGTAATCGGTTTCCTTGTACATAATCCAGATTTTCGTTAAGTACTACGTTTATCCCACACTGTATGTTACATCTCCACACGCTGTAGACATTTTCAGCTCCCCCCCCCACTCTTGTGTATCTATACCTTGTGACTGCTATGTCCACAGATGAGGTTTATACAACACCTGGATCTCATTAAGGTCAATACCCACTCACGTTCATGTAATGCTTTAACTGTCATCCAGATCCCATGTTCGTAAAATGATAAATAGGGGAATTACTTAGCCTAGATATTGTCATTTTGTATAATACTGTATTGTCTTGTATGTCTTGATGCATTAAAAACAAACAATTAAGCATCAACCAAAAAGGGGAATATATATATATATATACACTTTATACTACTGCTAAGATAACTACACAAAGTAAATCACCATAGTTGACCATTCACAAACTCGTAAGGTAACCAGAAGGAATTCAACGTATCTGTGACTCCTTATAGCTTAGATAAACTGAAGTCAATTTTTGTCTTTATTAGTTTAATGCTCAAGTGTCGTTCAGTAAATATATAAGATACACAAACGTGATTTAATATTAACAATAAAGTCTTGTTTAGTGGGATTAGGAGATGATAGATTGACGGTAGACAGAGTGTTATAGATGTGATACGATTGACGGTAGACAGAGTGTTATAGATGTGATACGATTGACGGTAATATTGATTTGAGACAGTTGATAAAGTTAGAGTATGTTAGAGTTGAAGGGGTGTAGAGGATAGTGTTTAGACAGGAAGTTGATAACATTACATATAGATAGACAATGTAAGTCGAGGTGACAGTGAAGAGGAGACAGAGTTGATAGTGATAGTTGACAGTGAGGAAGTGATAGGGTTGATAGTATGACAGTGGTGACGGTAAATATCCTTATAATAATTAGACTAAGAATGTCATATGACAGAACCAAGTGACACGGCCTCTCTACCTAAATATAAAACACACACACACACATAGACACACACACACACACACACGATAAATGTAGTGTTACGCAGCTTATGTTTATACTCTGATGAATAAGGCGCTAAAATATTTCATAACACTTCAGTAATCGACAAGAACTAACTAAGCTTATATTATAGTGGTTTAAGAATAACATAAACAATAATATTTTTAGACCTGTAATCCTTATTTAAACCAGATATCAATAATAATAATGTTTTAGACTCGTAATCCATTTTTGTTTACATAATTCAGTCGCCTCCAGTGGACAACTAACACATGGTTCTCTATTTAGTCCACAGTATTTACTCCCTCACTCACAGGTTCGTCCACACCTTACTAAATTTGTGTTTCATGCAACTTGAATTACTAATGCAACCGTTGCAGATCAATAGGGCCCAGTTATAGGTTTGTTTCAGTCCTACTAGGCCCCCAACCTAACATTACTTAATCCTTGGGACTGGGGTCCATTACGACTTGGGGTCCTAAGATTGGGGATAGATAGAAGTGTGAACTATTAGGGTTGGGGCTGCTAGTGATTAAGGTCCAATAGGTGTGAGGCCGCTTAGGACTACGGACCAGTACAGGGCTCCTCTACTAGTGTGTCCTTATACTGACCGAGGCCCAGTCACCCTCCACACGATCCGTGTAAATAAAGTTGTTTAAATTAAGAGTGTTGACATGACAGGTCTGACTGTGTAGTGTGGGGTCTCCCCACAACACCTGTATAGTGTGTGGTCTCCTTACAACATCTGTGTAGTGTGGGGTCTCCCCACAACACCTGTATAGTGTGGGGTCTCCCCACAACACCTGTGTAGTGTGGGGTCTCCCTACAACACTTGTGTAGTGTGGGGTCTCCCTACAACACCTGTGTAGTGTGGGGTCTCCCCACAACACCTGTGTAGTGTGGGGTCTCCCCACAACACCTGTGTAGTGTGGGGTCTCCCCACAACACCTGTGTAGTGTGGGGTCTCCCTACAACACCTGTGTACAACACCTGTGTAGTGGGTGTGGTGTAGTGTGGGGTCTCCCCACAACACCTGTGTAGTGTGGGGTCTCCCACAACACCGTGTAGTGTGGGTCTCCCCACAACACCTGTGTAGTGGGGTCTCCCCACACAACACCTGTGTAGTGGGTCTCCCCACATGTCCCCACAACACCTGTGTAGTGTGGGGTCTCCCCAACACCTGTGTAGTGTGGGGTCTCCCCACAACCTGTGTAGTGTGGGGTCTCCCCACACCTGTGTAACAACACCTGTGTAGTGTGGGGTCTCCCACAACACCTGTGTAGTGTGGGGTCTCCCCACAACACCTGTATAGTGTGGGGTCTCCCCACAACACCTGTGTAGTGTGGGGTCTCCCTACAACACCTGTGTAGTGTGGGGTCTCCCTACAACACCTGTGTAGTGTGGGGTCTCCCCACAACACCTGTGTAGTGTGGGGTCTCCCCACAACACCTGTGTAGTGTGGGGTCTCCCCACAACACCTGTGTAGTGTGGGGTCTCCCTACAACACCTGTGTAGTGTGGGGTCTCCCCACAACACCTGTGTAGTGTGGGGTCTCCCTACAACACCTGTGTAGTGTGGGGTCTCCCTACAACACCTGTGTAGTGTGTCCCTACAACACCTGTGTAGTGTGGGGTCTCCCTACAACACCTGTGTAGTGTGGGGTCTCCCTACAACACCTGTGTAGTGTGGGGTCCCCACAACACCTGTGTAGTGTGGGGTCTCCCTACACCACCTGTGTAGTGTGGGGTCTCCCTACAACACCTGTGTAGTGTGGGGTCTCCCTACAACACCTGTGTAGTGTGGGGTCTCCCTACAACACCTGTGTAGTGTGGGGTCTCCCTACAACACCTGTGTAGTGTGGGGTCTCCCTACAACACTTGTGTAGTGTGGGGTCTCTCTACAACACCCCCAAAACATATATAATGCATTATCTTCGTTATTATCTACACAAGTTATCTTATACTTTGATCATCACTACAGTACAGTGTGTTATATAAACGGAAGTGTAACAATTAACTCCCCTTCCTCTTGTGTTATATTCATTATTATTACTATTTATCATACCCAATATATTAATCAGCACATTCCTAACCGGGACCATTCCTCATTGTCTCTTTCCCTTAATCCCACCTCTCTTCCTCTGTGTTACTCTTGTGCGTCACTAAACAGTCATTAGAAGCCCTCCCTCCCCCCTACACCTGGGAAAAAAACACAAGGGAGTTTCTTTTTTTTCCTGTAGTATAAAATCAAATCAGTGACATTGACTTTCTTTCAAGTTTCCCCATTTTCCCCAACAGTAGACCGTAATACTGTATTTATAAGGAAATATGATAAACTAAAAACACAAACCACGGCTATTTAGAACAATTTAAGTGGTTTTTAATCATAGGATATTATAGGAGTTAATGAAAACAAAATCCTGTGAAAAAAACACCATTGTTTTTACCTATAATTATGTACGTATTGACAATCAAGGATTTTTTGGGTCAACTTTTTTTGCCAGGATAGTACGTCAGCTGTTAATGACGTGTGTTTGTAACTTTTTGTTTCAGATAAGTTTAATGTGATGTTAAATACTCTCTTATGTTGATATTAATTTGACCTTTAACTAATTATCTATAATAATCTATCCCACTTGCCTTAGATTATTTCTCATATCCTTTCATATTTCTCATTCTTACTCATCTCTCGCATTTCCCTACCACCTCTCTCATTTTCTCCCTCATCTCCCTCATTTTTCTCTCATTACTCTGTATCATAACCATGGATCTCACCTTCGTCTCACCTCTGTGTGTGTTTTATTGATGCGTTTAGCCAACCATATAAACGCCTAAGCTGACTGACCCACTAAGATAACCTTTTCCCGCCTCCCACCCAATAAGGACTGCCAGGCGTATGATCAAATCTATGCTAAACGCAACTATAACCAATTCCTGTACACTTTTCAATGTCGAAATAGTCCCCCTCACCTTTGCCTTTTGCCTTCAACAAGATCATTTTGACGTTGGCATTACTGATAATAAGATTTAAATCCTCTAATGTTGTAATAACTATAAGTGAATAATTATAAATGTATATGTTATTTACTCTACTAACCCTCAAAATGCATTCTGTAGCTTTTACGAAGAAGAGCGTCGTGTTAATGTATGGACTACGGAAATAAGTGTCACACGTAATAAATATTTTGCAATTTATATTGAGTGTTAGTAATCCCCACGATACACTGATGGCCCTCACTCCCCGCCCTCCCCTCTCACTCTCTTGTCCTGGACTAAGGATGAGATCACAAACCCAGCGACAATTCACCAATAAGACATGTGATACGCTTCCCTGCTGTTGGTACCTAAGGTGCATCTTCTTGCATCTCGCAACGATGAATCTCTGAATCCATTCCTTTGACCCCTCCTGAAGTCGATGGAGATCTTGCAATAGTGTTTCACAGTCTGTTTTGTCAGTAATTTCCCAAAATAGCTTAGCGTCGTCTGCAATATCCTCCAATCCATGCCAGGCCATTCCCCCAAATCAAGTATTCTTCCAATTTCATTTCCAGCCTTTCGTGAGGTGCACTGTCAAATGATTTGGCAACGTCAGGGTGTACAATATATTGTTAATGTTATCACCATGTTATAGCATTTGTGTCCACACATCCAGCGCCTCCAATAACTGTATCAACTAGGAGCGTCAAGGTATAAATCCGTGCTTGCATTCCTTCACAAGGTTGTTCCGTGGTAGATTTTCCATCATGTCATCGCGTATAATACTCTACTTTACTCACTACGCTAATCTCCAGTCACTGGGGATATTTTGTGCTCGGTACACTCATTGTCTAAGGAATATACGATCATGGTGAAGAGTTAAGGTCAATTTTATTACGATCTCCAGTTAACAAATCCCGAAAAAATACATGCAGTTCCCGTAGACTTTAAAATATACGGAACCAGAGAAAACAATAATGGTGGTGGGGAAACTATCCTAATTTACACGACTTCCATAACTACAAATTTTTATACACATGAACTGTTAAATTCTGACGTCCGATATTACAGGTTAATACATACTGTTAATACAAGTGGATATAAGAAGCTATTAACGTCTTTCTTGGGTTATCCTTTACTTTACTTAACCTGTTCGTCACTGATCGGTCTGTTAGCCGCTTGAGCAGTCGATCACGTCTGTGTATGTGCGTGCGTGTGTGTGTATAATACTCTACTTTACTCACTACGCTAATCTTAAGTCACTGGGGATCTCTTGTGCTCGGTACACTCACTGTCTAAGGAATTTACGATTATGGTGAAGAGTTAAGGTCAATTTTATTACGATCTCCAGCTGACAATTTCTGAAAACATACATGCAATTCCCGTAGACTTTATAATTTACAAATCAGAGAAAACGATGCTGGAGGTGGGGAAACTATTTTAATTTATACAACCTACACACTTACAAGTTTATGCACACATGAACTGTTAAACTGTGACGCACGATATTACAGGTTAATACATACTGTTAATACAAGTGGATATAAGAAGCTATTAACGTCTTTCTTGGGTTATCCTTTACTTTACTTAACCTGTTCGTCACTGATCGGTCTGTTAGCCGCTTGAGCAGTCGATCACGTCTGTGTGTGTGCGTGTGTGTGTGTGTGTGTGTACTTTACAAGAAACGATGATAAGTCAAGAATATATTGTTTATTTATCATATTCGTCTGTTGTCATATACTGTAAACAACAATTATAAACCAGCGCAACAACTAACAGATCGTCCAAACACCTCGTTTACTAACCCCGCCCACTGATGACGTCATTGCCAGGACCACAACACACCGAATCAGTCCTCGAACATTGAGTCACTTCCCTCAATGATTAAAGTAATTATGTGAGTAATTAAGCTTTATTGTGTTAATTAATTCATTATTATTATTTACTAAAGGTTATTTTCTCTGCGGTGGTTTAGTAAAAGTGCTCATATCTTCGTTAGTAAACTGGGATTCAGATGTTTGATGGTTCAGTTTGGGAGAGTCGAGGCTTCATTCACACGTCTCCGAGACTCACAGTGAACTGGTGATAGAGGTGACAGTGGACCTGACACACCCAGCGTCTGTTAGTTTCACTGTACTGCTTCCGCTGTTTACTGCTGCCCGAGTGCTGCTGCCCGCCTGGTGTCTGTGTCCTGCTGACGGCTGTTGATTACGAACCGCTGCTTTTACAGACGCTACTGCTATTGTCAGGTGACGGGTGGTGTTGTTCCCTGGGTGACGGGTGTTCCCTGGGTGACGGGTGTTCCCTGGGTGACGGGTGTTCCCTGGGTGGTGGGTGGTCCTTGGGTGACGGGTGGTCCCTGGGTGACGGGTGGTGTTGTTCCTTGGGTGACGGGTGTTCCCTGGGTGACGGGTGGTAGTGTTACTCATTAGTGTACAGGTATTGCCGTATATTACCTGTGTACTTAGTGGGCGTTAGTTTACCTTGCTGTTACGTCATCAGTTGTGTAGAAGGTTACACAGGTGTCCAGGACGGAGTTAGTTGACCTACGAGTTTGTTGATTAATTTAATACTTGTAGTTTACTCCCCAAGGGTAAACTTGTCACCCCGCGCACCTGGTTTACGGGAGGTTTTATGGTAAACTTTTAATACATAATCTATACCACTTAAAGGAACGAGGAATGTTATATTATACTTTAACCTGAGAGATGGGTTACGTCACCATCTTCGGTTAACTGTCATATTCAGTGTAGGTTACGTCACCATCTTGGGTTAACTGTTATAATCAGTGTAGGTTACGTCACCATCTTGAGTTAACTGTCATAATCAGTGTAGGTTACGTCACCATCTTGGGTTAACTGTCATAATCAGTGTAGGTTACGTCACCATCTTGGGTTAACTGTCATAATCAGTGTAGGTTACGTCACCATCTTGGGTTAACTGTCATAATCAGTGTAGGTTACGTCACCATCTTGGGTTAACTGTTATAATCAGTGTAGGT